TTGATCTGTTGTTTGTGAAATAAGAGCCCGATTTAACTTAGTAAGACTCGCTCACAACATTTTGGTCTGGCTTACAATATCATAAAATGTTAAAGGATTCAGAACTCCCTCATCATGATAAGGAATAACAACTGGAGTGTCTTTATTTACATTTTGATTGGGTTTATTTTGGTAGAAGGTTCAAATCCAGATTCTATAGAAACCTTGTATGCTGTTAAACCTTTTTTATCAAATACTAGCTGCCATTTGTATTGTCTCTATATGGAATATTTACTCTGACTTAGAAGAAAAGTGGAAAGTAACATTTTTTGGCTTTAAATGCTTATGTCAGTTCGAGTTCTCTGAGTGTCTATGGAGGGCCCGTTGGTTTGGACACTGGTTATGACCGTGAGTGAGAACCAGCAGCCATTCTTCACGTTACTGCCAAGCATCTGTTAAAGTACAAGTTGTTTCCCACTTCCAGAAAAGGGGTGAATGGATTGTGTAGGGCTGCCTCTGAGACAAAAGAGCCAGGAACAAAGAAGGGTACCGAAACATCTTCCAGGAGGAACTCCTTCCAACCATCCAGGGATACTTTGCTAATAAACAATAACTTATCCAGCATGGTGGAGTCAGATCTATTTAGATAATTAAAAGTGATAACAGAAGTTTCACAAAGCCGTCTTCAGCTGGTGATGCTTTCAGTACACAGTTCACCAGCAGGAACCACACCATAGCAATTTGAGATTTAAAAGGGTTTATTGGTGGGGATGGCTGAGGGGAACATAGAAGACCGAGTCTGAAGTTTCTGACCGGTTCATCTGAGGAGACTTGCTGCTGGAGGCCAGGAAAGGGAGACTCGTAGTGGTGGTTCTGTCGCATGAGCTGGATTTAACCCAAGGTGACTTGGGACCCCCAGATGGCACCTAGAAGGGGAAGGAAGATATAGTGGCAAACGGTTGAATGAACATGAAAAGGGAAAGGAGGCAGAAAGCAATGAGGGATGACTTGGATGAGAGGGGTGAAAAGCTTAGGATGAGATGGTGACTGGTTGAGGTTAAGGTTGGAAGAACCTGGTGAATAGTGGGTATAAAGAGATTCCTGGGTAATTAGTAGTGTGATTTAGGCACCTTGATTTGGAATTTATTTTTTCTGTCAGCGTTGCTCCCGTGATAGAGTCTAGAACAGAGTCAAACTATGATGGCGTATAATGATGATATTTGTTGAGCTTTAAAGTTCTTTAAGGTCTAAAATAATTCTTTAAGATCTTTAAGACTTAAGACTGTTTGCCTTTTCCATCCCTAAAGTGTATCTTCTGCTTGTTGCAAGGCCCAATTTATTCCAGGCTGTTTGAGAAAAAGACTTACCTTCTTAAGATCTAGATTTTATTTTTTTATCAGATTGGGAAATATTGGTGGTTTGTCTCAGTATGAATGGAATGTAGAGAGCTGCAATCTACGTGATCAACAGTGTACATGGGCATGGATTCTCTGTAACCACATGGGCATGCTATGCTTCCTTCCTTAGACCTGCCTTCCTTCTGTTTTTCTCTGTTTTATGGTTTTATGGCTTCCAGGCTGTCTCCGTAGCCACAGGAATCTTTGCTGATGCCCTACATCCACGAGAAGATAAGAGAGATTAGACAATCACATTAGGACTCACTTTACCGCCTGGGCCAAGGCCCAGAATTTGGGATTTGAATGTTGGGATGTGTATATTTAAATCCCTCTCACGACTTTCCCAGACTGAGCACATTACCTCTGCCTCTGCAGCTAAGCCGGCACAAATTAACATGCCATCGTTACGGGAATACCACGAGGAGGAGCTTGTCTTGAGAATGTCACTGCGGCTGGCGTCAGCCCAACGGTGAATCAGTCAATGCTACAAATGTTCTGTTCAGAGGGTGAAGCCTCTCGACATCAAAGGTGGCACTTTAAAGGATCTGTGTTTCCTTTTACTGTGCCTGCACCTGTCATAACACTTTTCTTTCCCTGCATGTTTGTTGTTGTGTTTGCTCCTCCTGGCTCTGGGTTCTGCAGCTCCACAGAGACCCCTGGTGGACTTTAAAGGCATAACGTTTTTGTGTGTGACTGTGTGTGTGAGGTCTGGGGATATATCCTAGCATCCCAAAAGTCCCTCTCTTCATTTATTTTACTTTGCACAATCTCTCAGCTGTGGATGATTTTTTGTTCTGCTGAGCTGGGAGACAAATTTTAAAATAGTCCTCTAGCTCAAGGCTTTTTTGTCTCCCATAACCAGTTTTTTCCTGTTAAGAACCATGTTTTTGCCAACCAAGGTTAAAAAATACATTATTTCTCATCTCACTCCTGAATTATTGCCACAGAGCTAGTTAACACATGTAACTTTGTTTTTAATGGGTCTGAGTCAGTTCTTAGCATCACTTATTCAGGTTATTTGTTATTTTCCCCTCTTAGCAGATAGCATGTGCCATCGATTACAACAAAAACATCAAAAGTGTGGGAAACAAAGATGTTTGTTATACAAAGCAGAGAGAAATTGGACTTATTAGGGGTTTATGTGGCAGAGGACACAGTTAAGGATGAAGACTTGTTGCTGAGTTTATCTGGTATTTAGTGTTTTCTAGGGACTTTATATGTTATATATATTCTTGTCTTTTAATAAGAATTATCTGTTGTTGCCATAGAAATGCGTTTTAAGTTAAAGAGCAAGTAACCCCTTCCCCGAGTCTTACTCCACTCTTACTTCCTGTTGGAAAAATGCAACAAATGCTGTTGCCTGGCAGACTGAGAGGGCAGAGCCACTAACAAATACACACACGAGCACACAGCGGCATTGTGACATCATATGGTACCAGCTGATGTCATAAGGTACCTCTTAGCCAATAGCAATGGCAAATTTTATTTCAAATGCCGTGCAGAGTTTTTACCTGAAGAGGGCGCAACACTGACAGTTTTAGGCAGAAAATTTTTATTTTCACTAAGATGCACTAAAGTACCAAATTATTGACTGCATATGTCAACAGCACGACACTCATTCATATAGTTTATCAGCAGAAGAAAATGTTAATTTGGGGGTGACTTGCTCTTAAAGTCACATGCTGTATTATAGAATCTTGTAGAATCTGTTTATCACTTGGCTCTCAGTATTGGTAAAATTACGTTATAGCATTATTTGTGTTTTCTAAGGTTAGTTGGCTGAGGTGGCCGTCTAGAAATGGGTTGACTTAAAAATCGTTAATCTTAAAGGCCAAGTTCACTGAGAAACTGTTTTTACTTGTTATTTTTGAAATATAATCAGTCACTCTGACATGCAGGCTGAACATGAAAATTGTCTTCTATCCCTATTTCCTGCATTAGCCGCCGATAGACGTGAAACACTCGGGTTAGCCTGACAGATCTACGTCACACTAAAATTAGCATGCATGGACTCGCCCATCTTGACTCACGACGGGGAAGGCTGTTGTTTTAGAGTCCAGGAAACGGCACAGAACATCTCGGCTAGTAGATGCTAACTGTTAGCATTAGCTACTCCACCACACAGCAGAACTCCTCACTGTTTGTGTTATTTGTGGAGATAAAACATCAACATTACAGAATAAGCAGACTCAGTGGTGGAGTCGTGTTGCTGTTAGCCAATCAGAGGTGAGATGTCAAAATGTCAGGAACTAAAACTACAAATCCCACCGTGTTCTGCTCCCCTCTGCTCTGGCTATATTCTGCTCTGAAACAGGAGCGCCAGAGCTTTTTTCTCAGAGATCAACTTACCAGGCATTCATTTGTTCTAGAGACTACTGCACACGTTGAAAAAATACAAGTGAACTTGGTCTTTAATAAACAACCATTGGTTACTTTCTGAGTTTCATTCAAATTCATCCATTAGATATTTGGGTCGAATCCAACAGTTCATGGCAGCAAAGATGTTTTGAAATGTTTAGCCTTCAGATGATGTGATGAGTTTGACTCTTGGCTTCTACTTTACCAGATTTCAGCTCAACATATCGAATACCGGCTCATTTAGAGCTCGTTTTGTGTTTGCTGATGTTGATCAGTTGTGGTGGCCATCTTGAACCAGGAAGACTCCAAAGGTTAATGGACTGTGGATGGAACATCCAGGAATTTGAGAATTTTGTTAGACTTGTATCATAATAATTCTCATATAATTAACAAATGTTTATTATAAAAGAAAAGTTTAGCTTTGGTTAAATGTTGCCATTGGGCTTCCGTAGCTCCAGGGTAATTATTGTCGCCCAGTGAGCATTGTGGTTTTGTTATTGGTAATAATGAATTCACTTTAATTTTACATCAAACACTCTTTGTTAAACGTAGTAAAGTGAAAGAGATCGTCTGTGTAGTTCAACTAAGGAGCAAAAATCAGCTCATCACAAGAAAACCAGAATAACGGAGCAGATAAACTCTGCAGCTTGCGGATTGGATGGTAAAAATGTGGATTATTTACCAGTGCAACCAAAAGAAAAACTACTATATGCCTGTATTTGAAAGATTTCCTAACACTTCTTGTGAAATCCAGCGACTGAAGTTTCAACGCAGAATTTATTAAACGATTAGGACCATTGAAGAGTTCAAGAGCTTCTCTGGTGCTACAGAAGTGTTGCAAAAATTTGGCTTGAAGGAGCGTTCGAGAGTGTTTGAAAGTTTAAGAGGCATTCAGGGAATCCAAAAGGGTCTCAGATGGTTCAAATGCCCCATCTGGAGAGCTAGAAATGGAATTAGGGAGGCTGATACGGGACATTTGAAGGGTAGGAGTTGAAATCCGAAGAGAGATGTTTAGATTGGATGCTTGTTGGAGCAGAAATCATCTGATATCCATCGTTTCTGCATTTGTATTCAGGTTTGTGTTTGGCTGCTAGACAAAATGCCTCTGAAATTGTGCTTTTATGTATTTTTGATTTACAGATAATAATCAAACAGCATATCGCTGTGTTGGTCTATTATCCAGATGCCAAAAATGAATCAGATATTCTCACGAGGCTTTCAGATCCAAGCAGGTGTTGTCATTTCCTGTTTGTTGTTTCACCACAGGAAGTCCCGTCAACCTGACGTGCAGAGCCTTCTTCGGCTACAGCGGGGATGCCAGTCCACTTATCTACTGGATGAAGGGGGACAAGTTTATTGAGGATCTCGATGAGGAACGAGTTCAAGAAACCGACATCAAGTAAGAGCTTGTGTTCCTGATCGGGTCTAATCAACAGTTCTTACATGAAGCTTCGGCGTACGCATCCAAGATGAGTTAAGTCGACTTTAAAGTTGATTTGAAAAAGGTTGAAGATGCATTCATTAGGCGTCTTCAGATCCAACAAAAACACCGTAACAAGCTGGTAAATATGGATTCGAGCCCGACCGTTGGACCACACATCAACCTTTCACTTGTGTTTTCATCTAAATAATAATCACGAGTGCTTCATGTGGGTGTTTAATAGTTCAGAGAGCCATGCGTTATTTATCTCCTACAGTGAATGCAGAGTTCACACATCGGTCCATTGGTTGTTGGTTGAAGTGCATCTCATTTCCATTTTTTTATCGCTCATATTTGTGTTTTTTTTTAATCAGTCATGAAATCTTGGGTCAGTGGATCAGTGTTGCATTCATAGTTTTGGAAATAAATGTGTTGATCTGGGATCATACAGTTTCACCCCATAAGATGAAAGGCCGAGTGTTCCTAGAAGGAATGTAACCTGATGATCAGATGTTGAGGAATAATAGAGTTGTGGTTGTTTTGGTTAAATCCTAAAAACAAGTTTAACCGAATGAGGGGTGTGGTGGTTGCATCTCAGCTACTACGGGAAATGTTAGCTCCAGATGTGAACAAATCCACACAGCTTATGGTGAATCCAGTCGACTCCAAAAGGTCACCTGTAGATGCAGCATGCGGTGATTATTTCTGCCGTTTCGTTGGATGTGTTGCATTTGCAATGCAGATGTTGATATTTAGATATTTTGTTGCACAACTGGAAGGTTAACAACCACACACTTGTAGGGTCTGGACTTACCAATGAAGTTAAGCTAGGATTCGAGACGATTTCCTGGGTAAACTCATCAACCAGTGGCTCTTTTCATCCTACTAGCGCGGCTTGACTTTACACACTTTGTGTGCTTTTCCATTATAACTAAGAATCGGCTCTACTGGATGGGCTCGTTCATGCAAGGCGTCCCCAGAGTTAGAAAAATAGTGTCAGGTCATTTGTAGTGGACACAGAATAGACTTTATTAATCCCACAGTGAGGAAATTCACTTGCTACAGCAGCACATACACTCAATAATAATTAGGGGTGTAAGAAAATATCGATATGGCAATATGTCATGATATTTTTCCCTGCGATTATTACATCGATATTCAAAAGCTGTGTATCTAATTCTTGAAAGAATTTACATGCAAACATTTGTGCATTTTCTTTTCGTTTTGTGCAATTCAATCGCCACCCGCTAGTTGGCAGCAGTGTGCAACGGGTTTTGTTTCCACCATTGAAATGTAAATCCCTCCATCGTGGTTCAGATACCTCATGTTAAACATGTTACGTATCAGTTTGGACTGTTTATTGAACATTCTTACAACAAATTCGGCAAAAATAAATTGCTTGTAACGTCTGACTGAATGTATCGCAATATATCGTGATGTATCGTATCGTCTCCCCTGTATCGTGATATGTATCGTATCACCAGAATTTCAACAATACACATCCCTGATAATAATGTTGTTATTAATAATAACAAGATTACACACAAAGGCAGTGAGCTATTACTGGAACCTTCAACTAGGGCTGAACAATTAATTGCATATGCAATTAAATTGCGACGTTGCTAAATGAGATTTTCTAATCGCAAAGGCTGCGATTTGACTGGCAGCGAGTGGTTAGCACAATGCTAATATGCATTGAAAACCCCATAAGGATGCTAATGCTAATATCGCTGATTACATTCTTACAAATTACGAATTGGGAACATGCCAAATGATTACATTTGGAGTCTAATAAAAAGTAAAAACTGCCAATAATCAAGTAAGTACAGACAGATATGTTAGTTAATCTAGAAAACTGTAAGAAACTTTAACTCCACTGAGTTTTGGCTAGCAGCTTTGAACGTAAATGAACTACGGAAGCTCTGCATGGACAAGACGTTAAAAACTCTAAACACAAAAGACTTCAATAAACGAGACACACTTCTTTCCTGCTAATAAATCTTCTCAGGTGATGCTAATACCTATGCTCCTTCAAGGGATGTGCTCCTGGCTGCAAAGCACCACACCTTCAAATATTAAATTTTGTCTTTACTTGGGAGTGTTTATGTAGACAAATAAACTTGTTGATATGATATGTAGGAAAATATGTAGATACATAAACATGTTTATATTCAGGACAAGTTACATAGATTTTGTTTTGCTTATGTTAGTTGAAAAATGAGAAAAGCCCCTTGAGAAAATAATTGTGAATTAAATCGCAATTAGATTGTTTTCCAAAATCGTTTAGCCCTACCTTCAACAACTAATAAAACGGAAACTTGTGTTTCCAGAACTATGCAGCACACTGTAAGGGACACAGACATACTAATGTACATCTGGTATTGCACAAATATTGAACACATATGAATATTGCATTGATGTTATTGTGTGCCAGGTTAATGCCAGTACCAGTTTAACAGAGGAGTTATACACTCTTACTGGTGGCAATATTGACTTTCAGCAAAACTGTTGTATTTTTATCAGAATCTGGGAAAAACTGGAAAAGAATATGGGCAGCATGGTGTTCTGTAGCAACCAGTGACTCCACCCCCTCACCAATCATTAACCAAAAGTGGAAAATTGGAATGTAGTCCTAGGAGGAACCGTGAGTAGTAGATGTGCTCTTTGTCCCTAAAGTTATTGTATAATTTGTCCACATGTCCTGACCTACTTTGGCGAGGCCTGAGCTTTGGGACCTAGCAGGAACCAGGGCTCAAGGAAGTGTTGATGGTTCAGGTTACATCATGTTTAGAGGAGAACATAGAAAACGCTCCAAGTGCTGGCTGAAGGATTCTCAAGCTAAACTTTCTTGGGGGGGGGGGGTCTGCATGTTACATCAGGAAAACACTCCTAAAAGGATAGAATAAAGTTTAAAGTAAACCCAGATAATCCTTTGAAACACATACAGTTTCAATCATAAAATATCCAATCCAAGCTGACATGAACAGGCTAAACCAGTGTTTTGACTCTCACTATAATGTCTTTGTGATTAACCGAGGCGTTTTTATTTCCGATGTGCTGACGCCGTTGAATGGAACATCGCTCAGCGTGTAATCTGTTGCCAAAACCTCAGAGTAGTTTATCTCCGGTTTATCATAGAGGCCATCTGGAAAAAGGTCAGAGCTTCCCTGTTTGTTGGACTGATGTGAGCAGAAGAGTACAGCCACTCTGGTACACTTTGTTTAGAGATGATAAGCTGACCATCAGCCAGGGAAGGTCAGTCCAAAGAGATAATCAATCGTTAGGATGAGGATCTCTCAGACAACATGTGTCAAACGCGTTAGAGACGCCTGTTAACAACGGTTTTATCAAGCATCGTTAATCAAACGCACACAGATGTCTTTATTTATTATGTATAAACCTCAACTCAAGGGTTTATAATAATCAAATCGGAAGATCACTTCAGAGGTTTTCCTATTTACCCTGTCAGAAGATGATGTAATAATGTTTCTCCTAACCCTTTATCGTCATGGCCAGAGCCTTCGTAAGGATCAGCAGAGGGAATGAAAGCATATCAAGTTTAATAAGAAGAGGTAGAAGATCAGACGGGAGTGATTCATGATTAGCTGGATGCAGCCGCGAGTGGATTTGACTGGATTTTTAAAGATCTGTTTCTAGATGTTCATTTAAGTCGTATAAATGTCAACAAGACACTCACGAAAAGCACTTAATCATACTTTTATTTTTGTTGTACCTCAAAGCTTTAAATCTAATGTCTGATCACATGCTAGGAAACGTCTACAGAAGCAAAACTCAGGTTTACTCTTGACACTTAGAAGGTGGCGGAAATATGTCCATTTCTAAAATCTTGGCTAGTTTTGTCCCGAATGTTTCAACCAAAATCTGATGGTTATTAATTCAAGGCACCATGCTAGAGGAAGGACAATAAAAACACAACCGTAATGCTGTTTTAACAGATTCAGATTCAGAAAAACTTCAATCATCCCCGAGGGGCAATTGTTTCAGTACACACATGGACGTAATTTTTTTTTGGGGGGGGGGGACATGTCCCCCCCACTTTTTCCAAAGTCAAGTTTGACCCCTGCACTTTTTACCATCTAGAAACAATATTACGCTATATTAAATTGACACTGGTTGAGCTCTAGGACCAAGCGGAAACAACCGTTTGTGATGAAGCCTGTTTCCCATTAGAGCATACTGTAAAAATACCCCCCCCCCCCCCCCGTGTCCCCCCCCCACTTCTGAAGCGAAAATGACGTCCATGAGTACACACAATTCCAAGATCAGACATACATACATAGACACATGACAAGAATTGGTGACTGTGGTCATTCGCAACACGAGCTGCGCTGCCGTTATAGATCAAGAGGGTTTATATGAGGATAGAGTCAGGGAGGGGGAAAAGGCACTTCAGAGTTACCCCTGACAGAGAGGATAGCTTTGCTATGCTAAAAAACACCTCAGACAAATATGCACACAGACTTCAGATGATACACAACATAAGTGTCCACTAGGTGGGGATGGAAGGTTCTGGGACTCTCGTCACTTCAGAGTGCGCAGCCGCAAGAGCAGCGCTCACCACCTCCATTTGGACAGGGGAGGGAGATTATTGGGTTAGAGGGCACAGTGACTCCTAGACATGGTTCCACGGCCTTCACCGGTCACAGTCCCGCCCAGGCTGGGATAGGGAGATCGTTTCCATAGCAACAGCAGCATTCCACATTTCTTCTGAGGGGAGTTTACACTTCAGCCTCACAGGCTGCTACTACTACTACTACTTGTTCTGAGTTCTGAGACGTTTGGTGGAAAAACGCTAAATATCAAACAGATGCTATGCTAAATTAAACAACTAAATGGGCCTTCCTTCTTAATCTTTGTACCCGTGACATCAATTGTTCTACCACACGTGCCCGTGAGTTCAGGGGCGCAGATCGAATTTTCAAACTCGGGGGGGGGGGCAAAGTTCCAATGTACCCTCC